TGGAGTTTTTGCTTGTAAAGCAGGTGTTAACTTTTTGAAACTCTGAGAACTTCTCCCTGTAATATCAATATGATATACAATAAACAGAATACTCAAACTTATCAGGTAGAAGTTTTTATCTTGATCTACCTCCAAGTTCTCAAGTGATTATGGTGCATAGTTATTTTGTTGTATATCCTGCATGTGTTAAATTCTTTCTGCATTCTAATTGACTATTTTGATTTCTCTTTACCTGTAGATTTACAATTTAACACATAATATACAAGAAGATGATCTTCAACATCTCCAGGTACATTTAAATTTTGTCGTGTGTTTTAATTTATGTCTAAATGTCTGGCTGTCATGATGATTAGTGAGCAATGAAACTGGAAATAAGCTGTTGCTTAGACATTGTACATAGTGAATTTTGTGATCTGTTGATCAGTTCTGAAACTATTGCAAATTGTTTGAACAATTCCAGAGTAATACCAAGCATAAGTCTGAGTCATTAGAAATGATTTCCATACTATTCAAGCTAAAGTTATCGGTAGTGATTCAAAGTATTCTCTGTTTTCAATTTTAGTGAGTTTACACAGGTGTATGTTCCAATGTAATGCAACTTTCCCAAGACTCCATTTGCGATTTCTTGTTATATCTTTTCAAATACTTTTTATACATAATTTGAGTTTTGGGTGTGGCTTATCTGTGAGTGCAGCCCTCGACCAGTGCTTACTGTAATAACCACATCAGTGGGTGGGAGGCTCAGGCTAAGTGGTGATTGTGCTTAAACAAAGGGTGTAGTGGTTAGAATTGAGGAACTGGTTGGATTATCATGTTGTGTCCAATGAAGAGCATTGAGTTTTGTGGGAGAACTGACCAAATGGATGGGCAATAGAATAACTTTGCATTTAAGTTCCTTTTTGCAATTGAAACTGGCATGAACTCTGGAAGTTATGTACCACTTGACCTTGTAGACTTCACTTTTTTTTCCCTCAACTGCTTTAGTAGGTAATAGTTTTGATATAAACAGTTCCTCTTGTCCCTCTGAGAAAGCAGATTTGCATAAGACATTTTTTCCTTTACTACCTGTATTCCTGAGTTTTATGTTTTTGTTTTTGTGCAGCTTTTTACAGAGTATGGCAAACTGGCAATGGAAGAAAGTGATATAAAGCCATTTCAAGTGAGAAAACTGCTTTGATTTATTTACCTAGTGCATGAATGACCAATAAAAATGTTATGCCTGTGATTTTAGTGAATATTGATTGTGTCACAGGAAATTGTGATAAAATGTTTTCCCCCCTAAAGAGCCAGTTAAGAAAGAACATTGGCTTCGAAATTCATTGAAAAACAGCAAGAATGGTTAAGACCAATTATAGGTTGTTTCTTTTCATCACTATTGTATGTATATGATTAATCATTAGGATGTTAGGCATTCCAAAAATAATTGTGGATGACGGTGCTATCTCTCTCTGATAAACATGCTTCAAATTGGCAAAATTTTCTTATTCTTGTCCAAAAGTGCCTGTTCTACACTCAGGTGTATCAATAACGTTTTGTCATGAGTAGCTGCTGATGTTGTAATAGGCGGCTGTGCCCGGAAAAAGGGCCATTAGGCGAAGCCCAAACATGGTCGCTTGCTGGTAGGCTGAAAAGACGGCGGCAAGTGATCTTACAAAGGGCGGTAGACTGTCAGTATCCGGGTTTTATTGAAACCACTGGAAATCCTATGAAACAAATTGACGATAATGGAAGAAAAGGGAGAGAATGTTACAATCCCCGTTCTTTCAAAGTACAAATTTTGCTTGAAATTTA